GGGGGGGGGGTTGCACGGCACGAGGGCGACGGAGCACGCGACGAAGGAGGAGGGGAGGTGCTTAGTGGCGACGGATCACGCGAGCGCGGTTAGCAGAAGAATTAGATGGAGAACGCCCAGGCCCTACCCCGCAAACACACTGGAACCCAGGCTGGAATCCATCGCGGCAGCGGAATCAATCGCCACACAATGAGCGGCGCCATCAGCCCGACCTTGCTCGCCGACCTGCGCCGGGGCGACCTGGGCTCGCTGCACGCCCTCCTCACCGGGTGGACGCGCGGCCCGGCGCTCACCGCCCTGCTCGACGCGCGGCTCGAGGCCGAAAACCTCTTCACGCTGCTGACTTGTGCCGCTTGGTACGGGCAGGCCGACGCCGTGCGGCTGCTGCTCGAGAGCGGCGCGAGCGTGGGGGCGACGACGGGCATTGGCTCCACCGCGCTGGCCATCGCGTGCCAGGAGGGCCGCCTCGAGTGCGTTCGGCTGCTCCTCGGCGCCAGCGCGGCGGTCAACCAAGCCAAGAACAGCGGCGCGACGCCACTGTTCATCGCGTGCCAAGAGGGCCAGCTCGAGTGCGCCCAGCTGCTCCTCGAGGCTGGCGCGGCGATCAACCAAGCCAACGTCGACGGCGTCACGCCGCTGTTCATGGCGTGCCAGAACGGCCACCTCGAGTGCGCCCAGCTGCTCCTCCAGGCCAGCGCGGCGGTCGACCAGGCCAAGGATGACGGCACCACGCCGCTGTGCGCTGCGAGCCTGGCTGGCCAGATCGACTGCGTCCGTCTGATGATCGCCGCCGGCGCTGCGGTGAACCAAGCAGACGCTGGCGGCTTCACGCCGCTGCTCGTCGCGTGCCAGGAGGGTCACCTCGAGTGCGCCCAGCTGCTTCTCGAGGTGCGTGCGGTAGTCAACCAAGCCGAGGAGAATGGCGCCACGCCGCTGTTCACGGCGTGCCAGGAGGGCCAGCTCGAGTGCGTCCGGCTGCTCCTCGGCGCCAGTGCGGCGATCAACCAAGCCAACGTCAACGGCGCCACGCCGCTGTACATCGCGTGCCAGAAGGGCCAGCTCGAGTGCGCCCGGCTGCTCCTCGGGGCTAGCGCGGCGGTCGACCAAGCCAAGTGTGACGGCGCCACGCCGCTGTACGTCACGTGCCAGAACGGCCACCTCGAGTGCGCCAACCTGCTCCTCGGCGCCAGCGCGGCGGTCAACCAAGCCAAGGGTGACGGCGTCACGCCGCTGTACATCGCGTGCCAGAATGGCCAGCTCGAGTGCGTTCGGATGCTTCTCGAGAGCAGCGCGGCGGTCAACCAAGCCAACGTCAACGGCGCCACGCCGCTGTACATCGCGTGCCAGAACGGCCACCTCGAGTGCGCCAACCTGCTTCTCGAGGCTGGCGCGACGGTCGAACAGGCCAGGCAGGATGGCGCCACGCCGCTGTTCACGGCGTGCCAGAAGGGCCACCTCGAGTGCGTGCGGCTGCTCCTCGGCGCCGGCGCGGCGGTTAACCAAGCCACGGAGGACGGCTTCACGCCGCTGTACCTCGCGTGCCAGAAGGGCTACCTCGAGATCGTTCAGCTGCTCCTCGAGGCCAGCGCGGCGGTCGACCAAGCTGCGGGCGGCGGCTGGACGCCCCTGCACATCGCGTGCGACGAGGGCCACCCCGCCGTCGTGCTCTGCCTGCTGCGGGCGGGCGCTGACACGGCGACGCGCATTGCGAGCGGCGAGACGGCGCTGCAGCTGGCCAAGGAGGAGGGCCACACCGAGTGCGAGCGCGCACTTGTGGCGGCGGCGAGGGCGGCGAAGAGAGCGGAGATTGAGGCGAAGGTGGAGAGGGCAGTGGCCGAGAGGGCGGCGGCCGAGAGGGTGGAGGCCGAGAGGGCGGCCGAGGAGGCTGCGGCGGCGCTGCTGTCAGAGGCAGAGGCGGAGAAGCGCGCCAAGGAAAACAAGAAGAGCAAGAAGAAGGGCAAGAAGAAGGGCGGCGGGGGAGGCGCTGGGCCGTCGCAAGAGGCCGAGGCGCCGGCAGAGGAGGCGGCAGAGGAGGCGCTGGCGGCGGCGGAGGAGGCGGAGCTGGCAGCGGCGCTCGAGGAGAGCGCGACGCTGGAGGTCGGGGCGACGCGTGCGCCGGGGGATCAGGCGCGAGTCGCCGAGCGGCAGGGCGCTTCGTCACCGGCGGCGGAGGCGCCACCCGAGGGAGAGGAGGAGCCGCCGGACGACTTCGTCTGCCCAATCACGACCGAGGTGATGAGCGACCCGGTGATGGCGGCGGATGGGCATGCTTACGAGCGGACGGCGATCGAGCGCTGGCTCGCGAGCAAGTCGACCAGCCCGATGACGGGCGGCGAGCTCGAGCACAGCATTCTGGTCCCGAACCACATGCTGCGCCGGATGATCCGGGACTGGCAGGGGGCGCAAAAGGCAGCGTGACCAGCTCGAAAAGAGGACCAGTGGTGGGCGAGGTGGCGCGCTTTCTCCTCTCATATTTATTATTTTTTCATTCCATCTGCCTACATTCTCTCTCTACGAATACGATGACCACGTGTGCCCCCTTAAGGCACCGCTCTCCCCTCTCAGGACTTCACTCTTCAGCTCTGAGTCTCACCGCGACACGCGACACACCGTGTCTCGGTACACACTTCGGAAGTGACACACTTGTCTCGGGCTCAAGTCCTCTCTCATTTTTTTTCAAGTCCTCTCTCATTTGCAGCACGCCAATCGCACTGAAGCGAAAATTGATCGACGGCGACACCGGGAGCTCCGCACTGGGCTCGGCGGAAGCCTCCGACGATGTCCGGTGTCGCCAGACGGCGGTAGAGCGGCCGCCGCCCCAGCCGCAGGCTGCTGCTGCGTGTCACCCTTTGAGCTTTGAGCCACGGCGGGGCGAAGGGGGGCGCGAGTCGGCAGAGTATAGGCGGCCTCGGATGACCTCTCGTTGCGCGCGTCCGTGGAAGATAGAGCGGAAGCAAACGCTTGTTCGAGTGCGTGCAGTGCAGCTGAGCCCGCGCTCCGAAGAAGCCCCGTGCGACCAACTCCGCGCAGCAGAGCGCCGTGAAAAGGAGAAAGGCGACGGCAGCGCCGGCGGCGATGGCCACTATGTATCGTCGAGCTGCTGCGGCCCGAGGTTGAGCGGGGGCATGAGACAACCTCGACACCCTCGCCCGCAATCATCAGTAGGGCCGTGCCAGGCTGCACGTAGCCCGCCTGCCACGAAGCGGAGGAGGGAGCGTGAGCGTTCGCGAATCCATGCCGCACGCACGCGGCTGTCGCGTGGGAGTGGCGCCGCGTCACCAAGATTGGCGCGCCGGCCGTGAAGAGATCGCCCCACGCACAAGCCGTGGGTCGTGGTCAGGCAGCCGCCATCTCGGCCACGTCTCGACTATCGATCGGCTGCCTCCCGCACAGCCGTGAACCTGGACAGGCGCCGCCGCGCCGAGAGTGCAATCGACGAGCTCCGCGCGGCGGGCGTGCCGGTCGTCGCGGTTGAGACAGTCGCCGGCGCACCGTACGCGCACGAGTTCGCCTTCCCGCCGCCGCCGGCCGGGTGCGCGCTGCTGCTGGGCAACGAGCGGCGCGGGGCTGGCGTCGGACCTGGCCGCCTCTGCTCTTCCCCGAAGTGTCCCCTGAGCCGTCTCTTCAAGGTCTCCCGCAGGTTGGCGGCCCCTCGCCCGACGCGGCTCATCTCCCAGAGATTGGCCGGGAGATGAGCCGAGATGACCCCTTGGATGACCCGAGATGACCCGGGATTAGGCACGGCCTCGCGCCAGAGCTGCTCGCGCGTTGCGACGCGGTTGTGCGGCTGCCATGCCGAGGCCCCACGGACTCGCTCCACGGGCAACCTCGCGCCAATCTCCTCTCACCTTGGACGATCTCGGGTCGATTAGGCCGCAAGAACTCGCTCAACGTGGCGGTGGCGCTCGGCATGTGCGCGCACGAGGCGGCGCGGCAGTGGGCGGTGGGTGGTAAGGAGGCTGCAGGAGACGCCGTCGGGAAGTGAGCGAGGAGGGGGTCGAACCCCGCGCAGTTTCTTGTCGTTTTCTATTTGGAAATTTGAGATGCGCGTTTTTCGCTAAACACTTTCATGGATCATGCAGGACAGAGGTCAGAGGACAGAGCTTTGGAGGGAAACAAATAACAATGAGCTCGCGGGGGGCGCCGAGGGAGAGCCGTCGTCTCCGCGATCCACCAACAATCCACATCCTTGATGTGTCTAGAGACTAGAAGCGCGGAGTCGGCACCACGCCTCGCAGAGGACTCTTCTCGGCTGGGGCCACGCGAAGTCCTACGCACTGCTTGGCCGAGTCCTTCGCGGGGGCGATTTTCGCCCCGGTGGTATGTGCGGGGAGCGGAGGAGTTGGCTTCTCCGGCGTCGCCCACTCCTCCTCCAGGCCGCCGTGCGACACGCTGGCCAGCAGCTCGACCACCACCACGCCGCCCTCGATCCGCTTGGCCGGCGCGCCGTCAGCGGCCTCCTGCACCTCGAGCCCGAGCAGCGGCGCGAAGCACACCTCCTTCTCGAACGGGTACTGGCTGCACCACGAGATGTCGGCGCCGCGGCTCCCCATCGTCTGCTGGATCTCGTACACCACGCCCGTCGACGAGCCGCTCGACGCGTACGCCAGCGCGACGCTGCGGTCGGTCGTCGCCGACAGGAAGCCGTACTCGACGCCGCCGCGGACGCCAAACTCGTCGCGGGTGAGGAACTCGTCCGGCAGCCGCAGCCCCGCCACGCCGCGGTACACCTTCTCCGCGCGCGAGATCTTGCTCAGCTTGGAGAGCGCGTCGTCCAGCGCGTAGATGGTCGCCGGGTAGGTGTTGCCGAGGCGGCGGCGGGCGGCGGCGGGCGTGCCGGCCAGCCGCTTTCGAGCGCCCTCTATGTACATAGGAATCGCTTAGCATGGACAAAAAATTTGCTCGTTGGCGGAGGAGGATGCGGAGGCCGCCGCCAGCATTGGAAGAGCATTGGACATAATTTCGCAACGACGGCTTCTAATGAACGTCTCGTCTTCTCTGTGAACCGTCCCCAGGGCCTCCTGGGCGAGAGAGAGAGAGAGAGAATTCTTGATACGAAACCACGACGACACACACCAGTCGACTCGCATCGGTTGCCTCCATGAACGGCGGAGCTATTCTCGCGCCCACACCACACCTGGCTCCAAACGTGGACACGCCCATAGCTGGGGACACTACTAGGTCACGCATGGCATCACAGAAGTTTTGTCTCTGGGCCCCGAAAGGCATCTCTAGCAGCGTCGTTACGCATGCCCCCTCCCATCCTGGGCGCATGCGCCTCACGTCTCGCCAGAGCATAAGCCCTTGGCGTGTGGCGAGACGAGTTTTTCGCCATGCAGCGAGCAGCAAGCCGCCCGCCGCAAACAGCCGGAGGCATCGCCACGGCACTGGCTGCGCCGCGCTCCCGCACCCGTCGACGAAGCTCCCCCCGCGGAAGACCGCGCGTAGCCACGCCTTGACGATCGAGATGGGCGCGCCTGAAGCTCGCCCACCTACTGCCCCTGAGAGTTGGTTAAAAGAAACCCGCAGGTTACTCACACTCTCTCGACCAATCTGGATGGCGGATTTCGTGCTGCTCCCGCGCGACCTGCCTTGGGAGCGTGCGTGCGACCGCGAGGACGCGAACGCGCCGCAGATCGCCAAGCTGCGCCTTACGCTCCCCGCCGACTACCCCGCCGGGACCGTCCTCAAGCTGCCCATGCCGTGTGCGTGCAGCGAGCACACGTCCCGCTTCACTAAGATCAAAGCGGGGACCTCAGTGATCATCAAGTGGGACCTCGGCATCTGCGGCCTCGCAGCGCCACCAGGTGCGGACGGGGCGGCGGCGGGGGGCGCAGAGGTGGCGGAGGCGACAGAAGCAGCGCGGCCGCCGCCGGCCGGGCTGGAGAAGGGTGTGGAGTTGGCATTGGCGGAGCCGGCGGATGCGACGGCGCCAGATCCAGGGGAACCGCAGCTCAACTCCGAGCTCAGCAGCAGCGAGCTGATCAGGAGCGAGCGGAGCAGCACGGGCTTCAAGGGCGTGTACAAAGTGAGCAGCGGAGCCACGCCCTACTGTGTCCAAGTGACCCGCAAGGGCACCAGCGTCGTTCTCGGCCGCTACGCCACGGCGGAGGAGGGGGCGCGGGCCTACGCGGCGACGCCGGAGGGCATCGCCGACCTGGCGGCAAGGGATGCGCCGCGACCGCCGCCGCTCCCCTCCAACTCCGAGCTCAGCAGCGGCGAGCTGATCAGGAGCGAGCGGAGCAGCACGGGCTTCAAGGGCGTGAGCGACTCGGGCAACGGTGCCACGCCCTACCGAGTCTCGGTGCAGCGCGGAGGCACCACCGTCCATCTCGGCCGCTATGCCACCGCGGAGGAGGGGGCGCGAGTCTACGCTGCAACACCAGAGGGCATTGCTGACCTGGCAGCAAGGGATGCGCCGCCACCGCCGCCGCAGCCGCCGCAGCCGCCGCTCCCCTCCAACTCCGAGCTCAGCAGCAGCGAGCTGATCAGGAGCGAGCGGAGCAGCACGGGCTTCAAGAACGTGAGCAAAGTGAGCAGCAGTGCCACGCCCTACCGAGTCCAGGTGTACCGCAAGGGCACCGTCGTCACTCTCGGCTACTACTCCACCGCAGAGGAGGCGGCGCGAGTCTACGCTGCAACGCCAGAGGGCATCGCCGACTTGGCGGCAAGGAACGCTCCGCCGACGCCTCGCCCCGCCAAGCGCCCCGCGCCACTCCCTGCCGTGCCGCCCTCCTCCTCCGCCGCTGCGTCGAAGCAGTCGAGCGCCGTGCAGCTGATCACAAGCGCAACGAACAAGACGGGCTTCAAGGGCGTGTACAAGTTGGGCAGCGGTGCCACGCCCTACTCCGCCCACGTGTACCGCAACGGCGATCAGGTCGTCCTCGGCCACTTCGCCACGGCAGAGGAGGCGGCGCGTTGCTACGCGCGCACGCCGGAGGCCAAAGCCGACTTGGCGGTCAGTGCCGCGCCGCCGGTGCTCTTTGATGGCGTCGAGCTCATCACCAGCGAGCGGAGCAACTCCGGCTTCAAGTGCGTTTGCAAGTTGCACAACGGTGCCACGCCCTACTATGCCCAGGTGTACCGCAAGGGCAAGAACGTCGTTCTCGGCCGCTACGCCACCGCGGAGGAGGCGGCGCTCCGCTACGCGCGCTCGGCAGAGGGCAAAGCGGAGCTGGCGGCCAGGTCTGCAGCCAGATCAGCGCCGCAGGCCAGCACCGCGCCCCGCAAGCGGCAGAAGGTCGAGACCGCGATCGGCGCGGGCGGTGCCGCCACTTCCACCTCTGCCGCCGCCTCCCACTCCGCCGCCTCCTCCACCACCGCCGCCGCCTCTGCGGCCGAGTTCGAGGTGGACCGCATCCTCTCGGAGCGGCGCCGGCCGAGCGGCGGCGTCGACTACCTCGTCGCGTGGAAGGGTTGCTATGCCCCCTCCTGGGAGCCCGCCTCCAACTTGGCGGACGAGGACGGCGCGGTGTGCGCGGCGCTGCTGGCGTGGTGTGCGTCGCGCGCCGCGCCGCGCCAGGGCGGCCCGGCGACCGAGCCGCTTCCGCCCCTCGGCATGCCGGCGACAGAGCCCCTCCCGCCCCTCGGCATGCCGGCGGTGGTGCAGGCTCTCGAGGGGGTCGGGCTGGGCCGGTACGCGGCGGCGTTCGAGGAGCAGGGCTATGATGACCTCCGCTACTTGCGGACGATGGACGCGGCGGAGCGCGCCACGGTGGCGGAGAGCGTGGGCATGAAGCAAGGCCACGCCAACAAGTTTGTCAAGTTCGCGTTTGAGCCGGCGTAGCATCGAGGCTGGCGCAAGTCGAGAGCGGCGGGCGCACGTGCGCGAGCGAGCGGGGCGGTGGGGACTTTTGCGCGCCTCTCTACATAGAGCCCCCTCGCAGATGATGCAATGTACGATTCGTTGCTGTACGTTGGTAGTGACTTGTGGAGTCGACTCGTATGTGGGTGCGCACGCACGTATGTGTGCGATCCGTATGTGTGCCCCGGCACCACGCCACTCTAGGTAGTTGTTGTGGATGTCCATCGGTGCCACTCCGCACTCGTTCCTTCTTTCTCTCGCGCGCGAGCCGCGGTAGTAAAGAATACTCGTACCGGGCGCGCCTGAGTTTCGCTGCGCGCCCCGGCCCACCCACCAGACCACGCAGTGCGCACAGGGACGCACCCGAGCAGCGGCTCGCCGCGCTGTTCCTGCCTCCCTCCCCGCCAGGTCGGCGGCGTCGGAGGGCCGGGCGGGGCTGTGAGGAGGCGATGGAGAGGAGGGGCTGAGACCGCACCGCTCGCACTCATCGCGCGTCGCCTCGAGCGCGGACAAAAGTGAGTGAGTGCGTGAGCTTGATACGAAACCACGACGACACACACCAGTCGACTCGCATCGGTTGCCTCCATGAACGGCGGAGCTATTCTCGCGCCCACACCACACCTGGCTCCAACGTGGACACGCCCATAGCTGGGGACACTACTAGGTCACGCATGGCATCAGAAGTTTTGTCTCTGGGCCCCGAAAGGCATCTCTAGCAGCGTCGTTACACATGCCCCCTCCCTCCCCTCCTGCGCATGCGCCTCACGTCTCGCCAGAGCATAAGCCCTTGGCGTGTGGCGAGACGAGTTTTTCGCCACACACACACACACACACACACACACACAGGTAGGTAGGTAGGTAGAAAGGTGAAGAACAGCCAGGCTCGGACTGGACACCAACGCGGTATGGGTGGACGCTGGACAGATGATGACGACACGCACGAGCGACACACAGACACACACACCTCGAGAACCTCGAGAGAGCAAAAATGAAAAGAATTCGCGAACGCACAATCAACGATCTCGCCCTCTCCGCCACCGAAGGCTACACGAAAAAGGCACGACAAACGTCGTCGCGATCGGTTTTCAATGGCTTCTTTCGCTGAGCTTGGTTGCCTCGCAGCCACGACGCACTCTAGCCCAGGCGGCAGCGGAGAAGCGTCGCCAACGGGATGGGTTAGCGGCAACCCGCAGGGTGGCGGCATGGGCAGCGGCAACGGGATCGGCAACGTGGGCAGCCAGCAGTTCGACTTGATCTCCGCAAGCTCTCAGCCAGCGCCGGCCGCGCCCAGCGCAACGGGCGGCGGCTCGTGCAGCAGCGGCATTGGCGGCATGGGCGGCGGCGGCATGGGCGGCGGCATGGGCGGCGGCGGCATGGGCGGCGGCGGCATGGGTGGCTTGGGCATAGGCGGCTGTGGCATGGGCGGGGCGGGCAGCTGCGGGATCGGCGGCATGCCTGCGGCCTCTCCGCAAGAGCAAGTTGTCCCGGCGGCGAAATCGGCCGGCCAGCACTACGAAGGCTACCAGCCGCAGAGCCTCGAGCAGCAGCCACACGGATATCCGGCGCAGGGGTTGTTTGTGGAGCAGCCGGGCGACGACGCCAACGGCAGCGGCTCCAGCATGTCCATTTTGGCTTCGGACTTGGCTTTGGAGCGGCGGACGGAGATGGCTGGCGGAGAGCCGTCTCCTCTCCGCTCGACGCCACCGCAGAAGCTGGAGCCACGGCCGCAACAGCAGCTGGCGCCCGACGCCACACTCGCCTTTGCGGCCCTCGCGCAGGGGCGGCCCTGCCTGCCCCGGCAAGCACAACTCGCGCGCCCCTCATCCATCTCGAGCGCGGAGCTTCCCCTAAGCCGTTGCAGAGGCTTCTCCTTGTAGGCATGAGCTGCTGCACTCGCTCCGCCACCTCTGCCTCGCCGCCGAACTGCCGGCGCACCCTGCGGGCAACCCGTGGGAGAGACGCCGTAGATGCTGAAGGCGTTACGGAAGCAGCACTCGAGAACGGCACGTCTTTCCTTCCTCAATGTACCCCTCTCTTGGATGTTCATCTCACTGTATCCGTAGCTGCCGCGTCAGCCTCTGGCTATACCTATCACTCGCACTTTCGTCCACTGGGTCCAGTGACGTGACCCCCCCCCCCCCACACACACACACCGCTCACCCACGCGCACTGGGCCTTGCACTTTGAATGCCGTGGGGCTCCGGTCGTCAGACGTGGAGACGCGAGGGTTGCCCCCCCTTGCCCCACCACCTCGTGTGTGTGGAGAAGTTTACCTGCCCTTTCCTACCCAGGAGAAGTTTCCCTTACCTGGGGGGGGGGGGGGGGGCGTGAAGTACTTGCCTTCAGTCCCTAGTCTGCACACGTTAGGAGAGCGGCCCGCCGATCGACGCAGACTCCTTTGGGCGCCTCGCCGCCGCCGCCGCCGCCTTCATCACGGGGGGAACGCTCCCCGGCTTGACGGCTGCTCAGCAGCAGCAGCTGGGGCAGTGGCGGGAGGGGATGCCAGAGGCGGCGGCCGCCGCGGTGGCCGCAGCGGCGGCGGAGGCGGAGGCGGCGGTTGCGGAGGCGGCGGCGGCAGCACAGGCGGTGGCGGCCGCGCAGGCGCAGCAGCAGCAGCAGCAGCAGCAGCAGCAGCAGCAGCAAGCGTTCGCCATGCAGCCGATGGTGCAGGCGCTGTCTTCGCCGTCGCAGGCTTGGCCGCCGCACACCCGCGAGGCGCCCCAGCCAGCGGCTTGCGCCCCTGGCGGCGACACACCCGGCACCCAAGCCACGCCGATGGCTGCGTCACTTGGCACTGCTGCAAGCGACCCGTTTGGCGCGTTGCAGCCACCGGCGCCGGGGTTGCAACAGCAGGCGCCGTCCCCGCAGCCGCCCACGCCGCCCCACGCGCCGCAGCAGGCCGCCTACCCGCAGCCGCCGCAGGCACAGCCAGCGCCCTCTGCCCCTGCCGGCTTCCTGAGCAGCTACGAGACGCAGGCTCTGCCCACTGCTTTTGGCACGTCCTTTGGAACCTCCGCCCCGCCCGCGCCAGCGCCAGCGCCTGGGTTCGATTCCTTCTCCGCCCCACCCGCGCCGGCGCCAGCGCTTGGGTTCGAACCCTTTCCCTCACCGCCCGCGCCCGCGCCAGCGCCGGGATTCGATTCCTTCTCCTCGCCGCCAGCGTTTGCGCCGGCACCCACGACCGGCTTCGCCTCCTTTGGCGCTAGCACCTTTGGCGGGCCGCCGCATGCGGTGGCGCCGGCACCGGCGCCACCGCCGCCGCCGCCGATCGCGGCGATGGGCGGCCCCGAGTACGCGCGGTACATCCAGCTCTTCCACTCGCTCTGCCGAGGCAGCTGGGCCCTCAGCCGCGCGCAGGCGGAGCCCACCTTCAGCCGCGCAAGGTGTGGCCAAGCCTAGATGCGGAGTCCCCCCCCATTTGTATTCCAACTAGCTCTCGAGGAGGTAGGCCTTGCAGGCTGTGCTACCGCACTCTCGCAGCACTCGCACCTCGCATCTCTTGTGCGCTCTCCCGCGATGCGCGCGCCGAATCCTAGCCCTAGTCTCTGGACGGCGCTTTCATGATCTCCCCATATCTCCCCATATCTCCCCGTGTCTACCCATGTCTCCCCAACCTCAGACCGCAGGGATGATCTCTGACGTAGGCTCCCAAGGGAAGACATTGACGCCGTGTGGGCGCTGTGCGACACCGACGGCGACGGCTACCTCGCGCGCAATGAGTTTGCGGTCGCCCTGCACATTGCCGCGGCGCGCTACAAGGGCGCGGCGATGCCGCAGCAGCTACCACCTTCGGGTCTGCTGCCACCGGAGGCAGCGGGAGAGCAGCAGCAGCAGCGGCAGGAGCGGCCGCCGCCGCCGCCGCCGCCCCCGCCCCCGCCATCGTACCAGGAGCAGCACCAGCAGCCGCAGCAGCCGCAGCACCAGCAGCCGCCCTCCAGCTACGAGGACTACAGCCGCCCCGCCGGATACGACGACGAGGACAGCTCCCTGCCGAAGAAGGGCCGCCGCCTGAGCGTCGCCGGCGCCGCCTCCGCAATCAAGTTTGGACACAAGAGGGGCTCCAAGACGGCGCCGCCGCCGCCGCCGCCGCCGCCGCCGCCGCGCGAGCACTGGGCGCCCCCCAACCCCAGCGGCGGCGCTACGGGAGGCGGCGGCGGCGGGGACGCCGAGCACGTCCACCGCTCGGGCCTGCTGAGCGCCAACAAGAGCAAGCGGTGGTGCGTGCTGAGCGGAGGCAAGCTCGACGTCTTCGACAAAAAGGTGCGTGGCGGGAGGCCCTCCAAAGTCGGTTGAGGTCGCCGCCCTCCTCGTGCCTCTTCCCAACGTTCCCTCGGCGGCCGATGCCGTCTGCTCCGGCTCCCCAGTCCCCGGGTCTGCCCTGCTCTCGTCTGCGCTAGTTTCTGTTTCGTCATGGCGGCGGCGCAATCTTCCAAGCTCGCCGGCGGCGAGAGGCAACCGCCTCCCTCCCTCTGCCCCCCCCTCCGCTCAGCTCGCGTCCCCCCCCCCCCCTGCTCGGCCCACAGGCGGATCAGACCAAGCCACCAAAGATGAGCCTCGACCTCCGCGCAGACGTGAGCCCGAGAGAGATGGAGAAGCCCACAGAGGGCCACCGGGAGAGAGGGGGGAGAGATGGCCGAGAGGAGAGGGCTCCGGCGCAGCCGCACGCGCCTGCCGCCGTGGTTGTTGTTCCCAGCGAAGCCCGCTCTCGCCCGGTGCGCAGGTCAGCAAAGTGGCGCGGAGCGACCTCAAATCCTTCAAGCTCGAGCTCCACCCTGGCTCGCGGCATGCCAAGGCGGCCAAGAGCGCCGGAGGCAGTGCGAGCCTCCTCTTCTCCTCGGACGACAACACGGAGATCTCGAAGTGGGTGAATGACCTGACCAAGGTGGTGTCGGGGCTGCATGGCGGCCACTGAGAAGCCTGGGGAAGGCTGGCGCCGGCGTGTGAGGGTGTGGGTGAGTGGGTGGCCGCGCGCGCGGCGCGCGCGCGCCAGCAGTTGAGGCGAGCACGTGCTTCAGCGTGAGCGAGACGCGTGGAAGAGTGTCACACCGTCGGGTAGGGACGGGTCGGCCCGGAGAGTATCGGAGCAGCGTACGGCTCTATTTATATCCATCGTCTGGCCGATTTTTTCGCGCGGTATCCGCGACGCCGGCGGGACACGTAGAGCTCTAGAGGGAGCGGACCCTGAGTTGAGGAAATCGGAGGACGCGACCCACGTCGCCACAGACGGTCCCGCGCCTCGCCGCTATGACGGGGACACACCCCGCACCGTCCGCTGTGTCCCCGTCTTTGTCCGGAGTGAAAAGTCCAACGCGCTCGTCGGTGGCGGCGTCCCCCGATTTCGCCGCGCTCGGCGAACCTCGACAGCGCTTTCGGTGGCATGCAGCTCTTTGCGACAGAAGCCTGGAGAGCAGCTCCTCTGCTGCTCACACACTCTGCACAGTTGACACAGCCTACTGTGCGGCTGCCACAGCTGTGACAGCGATGGGCTCGCCCTCACTGGCCCTCAGTCACTTGTGCTGCGGCTTGGTGTGAGCGACACTGCTCGGCGACTGCCGGCACACTGTGAGACCATGGGTGTGAGGTAAAACCACGCTACCAGCGCTTGGTCACATCGGCCCCGAGGTCAGATCCATCTACTCTGTTGATGACAAGACTTGTCTACCGGCTGGAGCCGAGCAGGAGGGCCCGGCGCACAACCCCTTGGTCAACTCACCCTCCACACCCCGTATGGCGGTGCCGGTGCAGATGACGCCCGACGTACGAAACCTCGGCGACCGCGTCCCGTTCGCCGAGGTGTGTGTGCGACGATGGCGTGCTTATCCCCACCCACCCATCTTCGAGGCCGACGCGGCGAAGGGCGGCGCCTCGATCGAGGCGCTGAAGGCCGAGTGCCGCGAGAGCTGCGTCGAGGTCGCCTCGCCCCGCCCGCCTACCCTTCCTACCGCGCGTCTGAACACACGTGTCCCTCCATTCACACTCTCCCAGTCCTCCCTGGTCTAGTGCCCGTGTGTTCTCCGCCCGTCGTTCTCCGCCCGCCGTGCGGATTCGGGTCTTCTTCGTCCTTTAGACGTTTCACCTAGAGCAAGCAGGGCGACGCGCCCACACGCCCATCCGCCGGCCGGGTGGGGCTTGCACGCCGCGGGCCATCCCCACGGGCACGGCACGCAGAGAGGCACTCCCCTCCGCTGCGTCGTCCCAGTTTATATCCTCATCCTCTGCGCACGTCGCGTTGGCTTCCTCTCTCCCCCTTTCCTCCCTGCCCCTCTCGCTGTCTGGTGTTAATGGACCCCCTTCCTCTCCCTCGCCACCGTCACCGTCTCCATCCCCGTCGCTACCGCCCTCCATGCCCGCCGCCCTTTGTTTCACACTCGTCTCTGCCATGTCCGCCGTCGCCGCCGTCCTGTCTGCTGCGCTCTGTGCTCCGTGGTACAGTCGCTTATTGGAGGGAGTTTGTTCTAAAATTATTTTTCCTTGAGAGAGAGGTTTTGTTTTTCAGTGTATGTGACGTGTAGTTTTCCTTTGCGAAAGGGAAAGAACTTCCCCTTGCTCTATACTATCTTACGGTGACGTTGGTACTCGTAATGTCTGATGTGGGTCACGGGGTGGGGGGTACAGTCGCTGGACGGTGGAGACCGCTGCAGCCTCGCGCTGGAGTCATTCACAAACATATATGCGCGCGAGAGATCAACAGCGATGTGTGCTCTAAGGACTAAGCTCTATGCGGCCGCGCATATTTTTCGCTTACGAGAGCTCAAAGGCCCATGCATGTGTCTAACTTACGGTGACGTACATGAGTCACGGTACAGTCCTCAGTGGTCAGTCGCTGTCCCGCCTCGCGCTGGAGCGATTTCATTCACGAACATATATGCGCGAGAGTTCCATAGGAGTACAGGCTCAGGCCGCCAGGAGGCGCGCCACGAGCGCTGCTTTGACGCCGGTGGTGGCCAAGCCGAGGCGCTCGCACTCGCTCCTCAGCTCTGCAACCCGCATGGCCTTGTACCGCTTCTCCGCGGCCGCCTTGTCCTCGCTCGCGCCCGCCTGCACCATCCGCTCCGCACCTCGCTCGCCCTCGAGATACTGCACCATGCCGTCGGCCAACTCCATGCGCACCACCCGCTCCGCACCTTTCTCGCCCTCGTAGTACTGCACGTTGCCGTTGGCTAACTCCATGCGCACCACCCGCTCCGCGCCACTCTCACCCTCGTAGTACGCCGCGTTGCCGTTTGCATACTCAGCGCGCACCATCCGCTCCGCACCTTTCTCGCCCTCGCAGTGCCCAACGGCGCCATCGGCACGCACCATGCGCACCCTCCGCTCCGCACCTCGCTCACCCTCGAAGTACGCCACGCTGCCGTCGGGGAGCTCCGTCCGCACGTTCCGCTCCGCACCTTGCTCGCCCTCGTAGTACGACACGCTGCCGTTGGCAGACACCTGGCGCACCACCTGCTCCACACCTTGCTCGCCCTCGTAGTACTGCACCATGCCGTCGGGCAACTCCGTCCGCACCATCCGCTCCGCGCCTCGCTCGCCCTCGTAGTACTGCACAGTGCCGTCGGCAACCTCAACGCGCACCATCCGCTCCGCGCCTCGCTCGCCTTCGTAGTACTGTATGCCGCCGCGAAGCACCACGCGCACCACCCGCTCCGCACCTTGCTCGCCCTCGAAGTACTGCACGTTGCCGTCGGGCAAGTCCACGCGCACCGCCCGCTCCGCACCGTTGTCGCCCTCGTAGTGCGTAATGGTGCCATCGGCACTCACCGCGCGCACCTTCCGCTCCGCACCTCGCTCGCCCTCGAAGTACGCCACGCTGCCGTCGGGCAACTCCGTCCGCACCATCCGCTCCGCGCCTCGCTCGCCCTCGTAGTACTGCACAGTGCCGTCGGCAAACTCAACGCGCACCATCCGCTCCGCGCCTCGCTCGCCCTCGTAGTACTGTATGCCGCCGCGAAGCACCACGCGCACCACCCGCTCCGCACCTTGCTCACCCTCGAAGTACGACACGTTGCCGTTGGCAGACTCCGTCCGCACGTTCCGCTCCGCACCTTGCTCGCCCTCGTAGTACGACACGCTGCCGTTGGCAGACTCCTGGCGCACCACCCGCTCCGCGCCTCGCTCGCCCTCGTAGTGCACCACGTTGTTGGGAAGCACCAAGCGCACCATCCGCTCCGCGCCTCGCCCGCCCTCGTAGTGCTGCACCGTGCCGGACTGCAAGAGGCGTCGCCGCAGCATCGCGTCATTCTCTTCGCCGCGCCGCAGTCTCCAGTATTCGGCGCGACTCGCGCCAGCACCCGTCACTTCCAACGAGAGGCAGTGCGCCGGGCTCACCCTCGCAAGCCACGGGAAGTGGTCGGCGGTGGCGCGGCGGTCGGCGGCGTAGGCGCGAAGGGTGGCCTCGTTGAGCGTGTCCATGATGGGCGCCCCGACAAATGCTCCGGCAAGCAAGCGCTCAGTGAGCAGCAGCCGCATCGCCACGGCGAAGAGGGGGTCCTTGAAGCGCGCCAGGCCGCTGCGCAGGGCGAGGAGGCCGAGGCGCGGCGACGCGAGGCTGAAGGCGGCGCAGTCAGAGAAGTCGTCGACGCCCTCGAGGATGCGGAGGTGCAGCTCCGGTGGCAGCTCGGCCAGCCAGTCCGTGGGCGGGGCGTCGTCGACGGTGCGTGCGCGGGGCGAGCGCGACATTGAGCCGTGGCGGCGGCGCGAAGAGCGATTGGGTGTTGTCAGTGGAGAGACCACTTCACAGCTATGCCTTGCTCCATTCTCTCGAGGTTCTCGAGGTGGATATCCTTTGGCCGCGTTGGGTAGCGAGGATTGGTGTAACCCGAGCTCCATTGCTCCATTGGGTGCTCTTAGTATGTCCTTGAACTCACCCGTCCCTGACTGCCTGAGTATACTCCCTTCGTATTGTCCTGTACTCAGCGTCCTGAGGGCCCAACTTCAGAATCGTGCTTTGAGTTGGGTTGTTTCGTGTTGGGTTGGGTTGGTTGGGTTGTTCCGTGAGTTGGGTCGTCGGCGCGAAGGGTGAGTCTCGACCGCCGCCGCTCACGCCAGCGGACGGCCACCATCGGTGTTTTTGGCTTCGCCACCGTCCAAGGCGTGCGCCATGCGCTCGCCGGCATCGAGCGAGCAACGTGATCGACCGAGCGGCTTGCTGTGTGGACGCCTTCTTCTGGCTCTCGTCGAGAGCGTTTTGCGTCCCGGCGGGTGGGAGAATATGTGTCGTCTGATGTGTCACTGTGTGCGTCACATCGGTCTTGATAACAAGCACGGTCGATCCGTCGAAGCGATGCACTCGTTCCTATCACGCTGGAAGGCTGGCACGGAGCTCTGTGCCGGCACACAGCAAGAGCCGTGCGGCAAGAAGAGCTCGATGGGGAGCGAGAACCGTCAGAGGTGCTCACCCAGGTTTCGGAAGTCCGCCTTGATGCGGTCAGTTCCCCCCAGGTTTGACCGCGCAGCTCGCAAGACTCGTCGAGCACTCGCAGCCTTTCTGCGCCTCTGACTCTGCAAGCTATGCGGGAAGAGCAGTTTATCCGCAATATATCGACGAGTTCGAGAGAGCCACAGGCTTTCGCTCGGGAGGGATTGAGTGCATCGCGACGGACTTCAGCTTACACCTGAAAATCTGACGGTTCTCGCTCCCCATCGAGCTCTTCTCTTGCCGCACGGCTCTTCTGTGTGCCGGCGCAGAGCTCCATGCCAGCCTTCCAGCGTGATAGGAACGAGTGTATCGCTTCGACGGATCGACCGTGCTTGTTATCAAGACCGATGTGACGTACACAGTGACACATCAGACGACACATATTCTCCCACCCGCCGGGACGCAAAACGCTCTCGACGAGAGCCAGAAGAAGGCGTCCACACAGCAAGCCGCTCGGTCGATCACGTTGCTCGCTCGATGCCGGCGAGCGCATGGCGCACGCCTTGGACGGTGGCGAAGCCAAAAACACCGATGGTGGCCGTCCGCTGGCGTGAGCGGCGGCGGTCGAGCCCTCACCATTCGCGCCGACGACCCAACCTCACGCGGAACAACCCAACCCGGGCCAACAACCCAACCCAACCCAAAAAGCACGATTCTGAAGTTGGGCCCTCGTCCTGTGGGTGTGTTCACAGTCTTGTGTGAATTTCGGCGCCGCCGAAATTCAAGGTCCGCGGTCTCTTTTGGCCGCGGCGTTAGAGAGATCCTTTGCTTGTTATGCCTTTTGCTTTCTCTCTGGCGCTCTCGCTCCTGGCCGGCGTGTATACGCCGACATGGAGCCTCGTGAGGTGGAACGAACCCCGACCTTCAAACCCTCGAGCCCGCCGAGACGATCTACCTCGGCACGCGGCCCGTGGATGCACTTGACGCTGCTTTGCACAAAGCTGCACCCCCCCCTGTGGTGGATGCGCTGCGACTGGCTCGACGCACCACGCTCGCCCGAACCGGGTGTCAGCGTCACCGCTTACGATCTCGATGACCGCTACAAAAGGTTCGACGCCGCCGCCGCAGCCGCCGCCGCCGCCGCCGCCGCCGCCGGCCCGAGGCCGCCAGGCTGCACGAACACCGACCCCGCTCCGCGCGGATCCGAGTGTGAACAGAGTGCCCCTCACCGGGGCGTGGCTGTGGCGTAGGCTGCACGACGCGACGCTGGACGACGCCATCATGTCCAAGGCGAAGCTCTCCGGCGCCGTCCTCTCGGACGCCAGCCTCAAGCGCGTCAACTGCGGCCAGTGCAAGCTCGACCGGGCGGACCTGACGCGCGCTGTCCTCGAGTTCTCCGACTTCACGGGCGCGAACGTGGCGGGCGCGAGCTTCGTCAAGGCCAACCTGCTCGGCGTCTCCTTCAAGGACGCCACCGTGAGCGGGGCGGACTTCCGCGGCGCCGTCCTCGACAGCGTCGACTTCACGGGCGCCGTCGGGGTAGCGGACGCGCGATTCGACCAAGCGAGCTCGCCGCTCGGTAGGAGATGATACATGATCCCTGGTTATCCATCGCGTCCGAGTCCCCGTCGTTCATGTTGAGATAGATTGTTATTGAGATTGGTCCATTATAAAGTCGACTCCTGCGTCCTGGGTTGGCTGGCCCCGAGACGCGAGAGCCGGAGCGAGGTCGGAGAGCGACCTCCAGTTGGCCCAAGCCGCACGCCACTGAGGCAGAGCGGCCGTGCGCGTACGACGCCGTACGCGCACGGCCACTCTGCACCGACCGCAGCGCTGCAACTGCGACCGCAGTGGCTCAGCTCAGCCAGGGCTCGCTCACCCGAGCTCGGAGCCGCCGGCGGTCATGGGCAGCAACAAAGGTTTGACGTGTCGCTCGGTGCAGGAGGGCACTGCAGTGGAGGTGCAGCGGCCGTCCGGCGCGTGCGCGATGGGCTGCAGCTTCATTGGCAGCTACCAGAGCGCGTCTGGAGCGCTGCCATTGTGTGACCCACGTGCAAGCGGCGGTTCCGGCCTGTTCCGCGCCTCTTTTTACGCACGTAAAACTCTTTTTACGCCCTTTATTGTTTAGGGGGGGACGAGGTCTCATCAACTTCGAAACCGCCTTTGAAAGGGGGCAAATGCGTCCGTCCCTGAGACGGTTGGGAAGGGGGTGGTTTCACTGCGGTTGAACACCGCGTAGCGATCGAGTAACCGTTGTCGTCGGAATACTCCTCGGAGCCGGTGTCCTCGTCGTCGTCCTCGCCCGACGCGGAGGTCGGGCGAGAGGTCTGCATCGTCTCGCCAGCCGTGAACCTGAACACGGCGTCGGCCGGCGCCGAGGCGTCGGTCGGCGGCTGTCACGCGATAGCAAGGCGATGGTGTCGTTACTAAGCTGCCACCTGTCTGGAGCGTGGAGCCACACATGGAACTTGGCTTTGGTGCTCGGCGACGTCGGCCTTCGCGAAGACTTGGCCAAAGTGTCTGGAGCGTCGAGCCAACTTTAAGCAAAAAAAAACAGCCAAACGGCCGCTCAGCCGCCTCCGCCCGGCTGCCTCCAAGATACCTATATGCGTGTTTGTGTATGCGGCTCCCCGCTCACGTCCTGCAGACCCTCACCGACCGCCTCGGCGCCGAGGAGCTGAGGCGAGCCCTCCTCCCGTACCCTGACAGCGAGACGACCGAGACGATCGCGCGAGCAGCCGGCGTCCGCCCGCGGGATGTGCGGCAGGCTGCGACGGCGCTGCGGGACGGAGCCGCTGGCGAGGGCGCTGGAGGTCGTTTCTACTTTGTGCTCAACAAGCCGTCAGGTTGCCACTCGCAGCGCTCCAATGGCCTGGCGGGTGCGGCTTGCGCGTCGCGCCTCACCGTCTACGACTGTCTGCACCGTGGCTTTCCTGCTGTCCCGCACGTCGGCCGGCTCGACCGCGACACAGAGGGTCTGCTGCTCTTCACGGACGACGGCGCGCTCGCGAACGCACTCATCCACGGCGACGGGGGTGGCATGCCCCACGCGACGAAGCGCTACCTCGTCGAGGTGACCGGGCTGCTCAAGCCACGAGTCGGCGGGACAGGCTGCAAGGCAGAGGCTCTGCAGCCGCCGCCACCACCGGCAGGCGCAGTCGGGCCTCTGCCGCCCGTGTCCGCTGGATATCCCGAAGCGGCGACGCCGCACAAGAAGCGTGAGCGCGGTAGCGGCGGCGTGGGCGGTGGTGACGCGGGCGGTGGCGGCGTGGGCGGTGGCGGCTCGCGAATCGTGGCGTGCGGGACGGCGGCGCAGCAACTCGCGCTGATGCGCGCACCGCTGCACTACGAGGCGCAAAAGCAAACAAGGACACACGCACGCACACGCAGCGCACGCACACACACCACCACACAAACACACACCACCACCACTCACCACCGTCACCACCACCATCACCGCCGTTGCCACCACCCACCACACACGTACACCACCATTAGGCGCTCGGGCAGTGGACGCGGCCAGCGGCGGTGGAGCGCCTCCCCGCGCCGCCACCTAGCTGCACGCCGCCGG